TGTTTAATAAAATGCAGTTGTATAGTCAATTAATTTTCTGTACATTTAGAAATTAAATAATTTCCAGTGATCTTCCATAGATATCTTGAATATTTGTTGCGTCAGTTTATATGTAATCGCTATAACGATAAAAAGCTTTTATATATTACTTTAGTAAATAATATTGCTGTAATTTACAGTAAAATCATTTTCAATGCATTTCGATAGTAAAAAATTACAATTAATTTCAGTAGATATTTTAATACTTTTTGAGGTCACTCTATATGTAATCATTCGAACGAATGAAAGTTTTGACTTATTTTTTAATAAATCTTCTAATGCAGTTCTTAATTGAACTTATTGATAACTTTATGAGGTCCTAATAGAATATACTATAATCAGAATTTGGGGGTATAAGGTAAAGAAATTTATTTGGAGACGTCAATGTAGGCTTCTACATCTAAGGAATACCGTCCCTCCAATAAAACATAGAGGATAAAGTATCAAGCTTTGTAGATGTTTCTCTGCAAATGGGACGGGAAACTTGGTAAGATTTAATGGTATAATGATGAAAGAAGATTATATATGGTTGAAACTTGAAAGTGTTAAAAATCTGAAACTGAAGCGTGTTCCGAGCTCTATCTCCATAACAAAAGAGTCCAAAATAGACTTCTAAATTAAGGCAGGGTAATTGAAAAAAGACGTTTATTGTCCAAGAAACCTATTAATCTGCGACATCTTGAAGATTATGCACATCTGGTAGGTTTGGTAAAATATCTCTGAAGATGTTTGTGGTAATTTAGTAGAAGGTTACAAAAAATATAAAATAAAAGAAAAAATTAGAAAAACTAAAATTGACCATAAATTTTCTCATGACCGTTAATTTTAGGTATACAAGGTATTTTTTATTTTGTTTGCAATTATTACAATTTGAATGAGAAATTGGATAGCCAAGTTTGAATTCCAATCAGGTTCCTTATATTCACTTACGAGCAAATACTCTTAGGTAAAATATGAATCTATCTCCGCTCTATGGGTTAAATAAGATTTGTATCTGATAAAATTGTTGTTAATCTCAAATAAATGTTCATGCAATATTCTCTCACAAAAAATAGAATTATTTTTAAAATCTAAAATATATTTCGGCTTTAAATAACCCACAAAGGGTTGATAATCCGTAAAAAACAACAAATCAATCTTTTCGTTTATATTATTGATAAAATTATAAAATTAATGCTACTATAATACTTTTTTTTTTTTTGTAAAACTTGTGGAGCAATGGCAACTAAAATGTTTTAATCTAAAAAGTTTTCTTCGTTTGATGGCCGGCATATTTAAGTAATTTTATAATTGCGTTCTTTTTATAAAAACAGCAAAATTTTATGTAACTCTACATTTGCTTTTTTTGTTATACAATTACTGAACATTAAACTAAACTGTACATTAAATTAGAAGTCCTATCAGCATTCATTATTTGCGGTCACAATCTTAACATAAGAGAAGCAGATAACATAGTGTCGATAGCAAATACAGAAATGAAGCCACATATAGTCCTACAAAAGGTAGCAAACGAAAGTGAGAAAAAAGGATTAAGCATCAATTGCAAGAAGATAGAATGCATGGTTTTAAGCTATAAAGAAAAGCTCAACATGCAAATTATAAATTAGAGACACCAAAATCAAACAAGTACAAAAATTTAAGTATCCGGGAAATGTTTTAACAGAAAACGGAAAGTGTGACACCGAAATCCGAAGGCGCATTAGGAAGGCGAAAGATGCCTTCTAAAAGCTAAGCAAATATTGAGAAATAGCAGAATTTCGTTAGAAACAAAGAAAAGAGTACTGTACAGTCCTCTTATACGGCAGTGGATACTGGACAATCTCCTCACTGATGAAGAAGAGGCAAGAGAAATGTTGTTCTACAGAAAGATGTTGAGAATACCATATGAGCAACGATGAAGTTTTAGAGAAAACGAAAAGAAGAAAGACACTTATACTTAACATCAGAAAGAGACAGTTGTAATATCTAGGGTTTATAAAGGGGAAAGTGGGCTTTCGGTGCCCACAAGACATACTGAAGGCAAGATAACACATATCTACCTAGCCAATCTGTGTAAATGATTCGCGGAGTAGGGTTCAGGAGAGATGACAAAAAGACAAAATTTAGTAAGAGTTACAAAGAACAGGAGATTATGCAGGGCCATGATCGTCGACGTCCTGAAGGGACACGTCACATAGAAAAATAAAAATAAAACCTACTATAGATAACAACTGATCATATGCTATGTCATCATGCTCCAAATGAAGACAATTACAATAAATTGAAACGTTTACCTTTCTTAGTTGTCATACATGTCAAACCATATTGGCTTATTTAAGAAACTAACTTTTGAATTATCCTAGCGTCAATTTAAGTTGATGCCATTTTTTTTTTAGATGATTTAACCATTTTGTTTAAAGTTCGTATTTTCTTGATTTCAGCTTAAAAAAAAAATTCCACATATTTCAATGGCATTTTATTTTCTAACATTTATATTTATTTATAAGTCTATTCTTCATACGCTCTCAAAGACTGGCGCTACAGAGTCATAATCAAAAAGCTTTACCAAAAATAAAAATTCACATCTCTTGTAGACTTCCAACAGCGGCAATAACTAAAATGAATAACACATGTATCTCGAAGCGAAAATTATGACATAATCAAGATGTTGACTTTCCACGCTACTCCAAATAGAAAAGGTTAGAAAGAACACCGTATCACTACTAGAAAGATCAATAACATTTAGTGGACTTGAGGAAACTACTTTTCTGAACCTGTCTATATTTCTGAGATGAGATATTATGTACCCTATTTACATTATTAGGACTATTGTCCTCATCTTTGTCGCCATATTTATCAACAACGTTTCGTTTGTACGCTCCGGCCTTCTTCAGAACTGTCTACCCCAGTGAACGAAATAAAGGGTTCGGTTCGACATTCCAACCACCTGAAGAAGGCCGGAGCGTACAACGGCCGAAACGTTGAGATAAATATGGCGACAAAGATGAGAACAATAGTCCGAATAATGTAAACAATGTAAATATATAATGGTTTTTAAATCATTCAAGATTTGAAATTGAGTATTGAGGAGTTATTAAAGTTTTATGAGTTTGATTTTTTTTTTTTTTTTTTTTTGTTGGGAATTTTTTGTGGTGGTGGATACAAATTCACATGAAATTACTGTTTTTTTATTTCTTGTTTTTGGAGGGGATGAGATTTGGTAGTAATTTTTACGTCACTGGCATTAAAGAGAAAACCATGTTATTTACTCTGACGACTTTGTAATGGCAATGTTAATGGTAACTATACAGGAATCATTCAGTATTCACTGACTGTACAATAACATTACTGATGGTTAAAATTTATAAAATGTTAGCCGAATTACGCACGCCTTGCTGTGTGTCACATATTTCATTTTAAGAAAATGATGATTGATTTTAAATGATTGTTATAATTTGTGGAAAAAATTCAATATTACTCAATGATCTTGCCGATGTGACCTCCATCTTCTGGCTTTCTCCTATATTTTGGATAGGAGTCATTCTCTTGTTCAAAATTTAAATTTAATTTAAATCAAAGGGAAAAAATTTTTAGTGGACCGGAGTGGTGCAAAAACAACTTGATCTGACCCCTTTTATATGTATTTGAGTCAATACTTGATAGAATGAATTGATAAGAAGATTTCAACATTGATATGACATTTGAATTGTCGCAACAAATAAGTATTGCGAGGTACTACCCACTGATCAACTTGACTGCCATATTGTCTCATGTTGATCTTGCCAACGTGACCTCCATCTTCTGGATTTCTCCTTCTTTATTTTGGATAGGAGTCATTCCCCTGTTCCAATTTAAATTTAATTTAAATCAAAGGGAAAAAATTCAGTGGGGGTTTATGCCACCCCCTCCTGAGTATCCCTTTTGATCAAAATGAAATATACTTATCCAAGTAGTCTGGGTAATGTAGTTTCAGAATATATACCCTAGGAGGGGTTTGACAACAGACAGACAGAGGCTACGACTTTATATATAGAGATTTTATTAAAACAAATTTTCAGAAATCGAAACTTCTCAAATCGAGTAACTGTTATATTAAAACAGTTTTTTTTTAGAAAGTAGGTTTCTTAAGTCATTAATGTTTGTAATGCTTTCCTTCCTAACCTTTTGCTTAAAGTTATGTGGAAAGTCAACGCTTTGATATTGTTATTTTCCATTCTAGTTACATGTGCTTCTCGATTTTTGTTGTTGTTGTTTGAAATCTTGAGATGATGTGTTTTCTGTTATTTGATAAAGTTCTTTGTTTGGTATTATGTAACACCAATCTATATGGGTCTGATGAAGGGCTGTTTTCTTTAATACTTAAAGGATTCATTCGCTTGAAAACATTTCAACTCATTCGTCTGATTAGGTTAGGTTTGTTTCATTTTACCGCATATCAACCTCAATGGGTTATTTAATTTTATTAATTCCTGGTAATTTTTTTTTTCAAAAATATATTGCTGGTATTAAAACCTATTTTTACACTTTCATAGTATTTTGACCCCAGCTTGTGGGTTAACCATTTGTCCATAGCTGGAACCCTAACATGTGTTACCAACACTTCATTGGTCTGAGAAAAAAAAAACAGTTGTATATAGATGATAGTTTAGATATTTCTAAACAAGTTGGACGAATTGCATGACATCCATATCAGAGTCTAGTTTTGACAGGATTATTTAAGAAAATGACGCTAGTTTCTAGGTTAATGTTTTGGTTTTGTAGCCACCTGTTGTATTGTGCAAAACTATCCCTAGCGCAGACTATCCTGTGATCATTATATAAAGTTACTTCTTTAAGTGCAAACGCTTATTTGAATTACTAACAATACTTGTTGCAATATTTTTTCTTTTTATTTCTCCATTAATTCTAATTTCCTTGTATTTAATTTATATATATATATATATATATATATATATATATATATGGAGATGATTCTTCAGATAATGTCGCTGCCAATTCCGCTGAGGCTTTTCTGCCAGTATTTGGTAAGGTTACTTGAACTGATTCAGCCGTCGCCTCCGAAACCGCTCTGTGGCGAACTAGCGTAGATTTACAAGAAAACTGAAGCTGAAATCCGGAATGAATCCTAAACCGAACAAAAGCCCTGCCACTTAACCCAACAACGAAAATGTACATTCTTAAAACGCATATCACTGATACATAATACGCATGTTGCGAGCTCGAACATGTGTAGGTGATCTGTAACACTCTGTCTAGAAATCTGTTTGTATACACGTCGGTCGGCCGATCTGTTTTGTTGCCTCGAGTGCATTTTTTTTTTTACTTTCTTTTCCTGACAGGTTTATTTACATTCCTTCACCAAGTAACACACTTTACCTTTCTTTCTTTCTTTCTTTCTTTCTTTCTTTCTTTCTTTCTTTCTTTATTTATTTATTTATTTATTTATTTATTTATTTCCGTTTTTTAGTTTATTTCAGTTTTTATTTTATTTTTTCTTTATCCTTCTTTTTCTCTGTTCTTTCTTTCTTTCTTTCTTTCTCCCTGTTCTTTCTTTCTTTCTTTCTTTCATTCTTTCTTTCTTTTTCCCTGTTCTTTCTTTTTCCCTGTTCTTTCTTTCTTTCTTTCTTTCTTTCTTTCTTTCTTTCTTTCAGTTTTCTTTATACTTTCCTGTTCTGTTTTTCTTCCTGTTTTGTCTTTCTATATTTCTTTCTTTCTTTCTTGCTTGCTTGCTTTCTTCCTATTCCTTTCTTTCATTCTTTCGCCCTTTTCATTTCTTTCTTTCAGTTTTTCTTTCAGTTTTTCTTTCATTTTTATTTAACTTTCTTCCAGTTTGTTTGTTCGTTCTTTCTTTCTTTTTTCTTTCTTTCTTTCCATATTTATTTATTTATTTCTGTTTCCTTTCATTTTTCTTTATCTTTCTCCCAGTTCACTCATTTGTTCGTTCGTTCTTTCTTTCTTTCTATCTTTCTTTCTATTTTCTTTCTTTCTTTACATTATTTCTTAATTTGTTTCTTTCTCTTTTTCTTTCTTTTTTTCTTTATCTTTCTTTCTCTCTTTCTTTCTTTATTTCATCTTGTTCATTCTTTTTTTATTTTCCTTTCTGTTTTTTCTTTGTTCCTGTTTTCTTTCTTGTATTTTTTCTTTTCATTGATATACTTCTGCTTTTAAAATATTTTCAAGATTTCATAAATGTATTGTATATAAACGTGTCTATTTTACATGGATAGATAGATAGATATTAAAATGTTTCGTTTCCTTTTAATTTATTAATCTAGCTTATTAGATAATTTGTAGGATATTTCATTTTTCTCCTTTCTTTTTATTACATTTTTATTTTACTTATTTATTTGTATTCCCAATATTCGTTTTTTTATCCAATAGCCCATCTTTTTTATTTAATTATTTTTACTTATATTCGTTCATTCATTTGTTCTTTTTTACTTATATTACAACCTTTACTCTTTATTTTTGCATTCACTATTACAGTATCATTTTTTTCAATGATATTAACCTTGTACAAGACCCAAGAGCCACTCGAGTTAAAGGATTACAAAGAGACACAGTTTATGGGGATATGTGTACAAGATAACGGTACACACTGGACAAGTTAAGATTGTAGTGATCTGAGAAGCATCCGCTCGGGAGTCGGTTCTACACAACAGCGACTGGCGGGGAGAAGCTACTCGAGTGGAAATTACGTCTCACCAATGGATTACAAAGGGAATGAGAGTCATTCGCTACAATGTGCGTGGCGATATCTTTTCGTGTAATAATTTTCATATCCCCCCTCTCTCTCTCTCTCTCTCTCTCTCTCTCTCTCTCTCTCTCTCTCTCTCTCTCTCTCTTTATATCTATCTAGCTAGCTATCGATCTATCCCTTTGTGCGAAATCCTTTCAGGGCGTCGGTGATCTAACATTTTTCAACAACTTCCTGCATTTCTGTTTATTAACACGACCCACTTTTTCGTATCCTATCTTCCTTTCTACTTTAATTTTACTCGGGCTGTCTTGTCTTCTTCTTTTCGGAATTTTTCGGTGATTACTCTATAAAACAACGCTTCATCTTAATTGGTCTTCATTTCTTTCCTTTTTAGCAACTATGGTTTTTGTCATTTCGTTTTTTTTTCTTTCTATTTCTTTTTCTTCTTCTATTTTTTCTTTTCTTTCTTGCTTTATTTTATTCATACCTCCTCTTTCATTTCTGTTATTAAGCATTTCATTCCTTTCATATTTCCTTTCATTCCTCTTTAATTTTATTCGTTAATCGTTTTTCTTTTTCTTTCTAACAGATTTTCTTCTTTTCTCAGTTTTTTCTTTCTTTCTTTTAACATCTTTTTTTTATTTTTATTTATTTATTCGTTTAATTCATTCATCATTTTTTCTCTTTTCTTCTTTCTTGTTAATTTTTTTCTTTCTTTGCTCTTATTTCTTTTTGCTTTTATTATTACTTTTTTACTTTCTTCTCTTTCTTATTCTTTCCTTCTATCTTCTTTCATTTTTCCTTCTTTCTTTTTCCTATATTTATTATTTCTTAATTCATACTTTCTTTTCTTTTCCTTTTTTCGTTCGTTCTTTCTTTTATTTGTTATTTTTCATTCTTTATTTCGTACTTTCTTTGTTTCTTTCTTTTCGTTATCGCTCCAGATCCATGTATTATCAATTAACAATTTTTTTTTATTCATTTAATTCTTTATTTCTTTCTTTTTTACTTTCTATTTCTTTTATTTTTCGTTCGTTCTTTCTTTCATTTTTCTTTTTCATGCATTCTTTCTTTCTTTCTTTCTTTCTTTCTTTCTTTCCGTTCTCGCTCTAGATCTATCTATTATAAACTAACAATTTTCTTTCTTTCTTTTTTATCTATTTATTTATTCATTTCATCCTTTCATTCTTTTTTCTTTCGTTCTTTTTTCTTTCTTTCTTTCTTTCTGTTCTCGCTCTAGATCTATCTATTATAAACTAACAATTTTCTTTCTTTTTTATTTATTTATTTATTCATTCATTCATTTCATCCTTTCTTTCTTTCTTTCTTCTCTCCTTCTTTCCTTTTTTGCTCCTGACCCATCTATTATAAAGCAACAATTTTAACTTTGTTTTTCCCCAGATAAATTTTACTATCTAATCTATCACGATTAAGTATATGTGTGTGTGCGTGTATGTTTCTATGATCCGTAAACTGGGGTTTCCACCCAATACATAAGGTTATCTTGTTATTTGTGGCAATAACAACTTTCCAACTCGATTTTTTTGGCATTACTTATACAACAGGGACAGGCGTTTTAATTCTCGTATTCACAAAAATAGAAATTTTCACCACATTTTCTATATATACAAAATGTTATTTGTAGTCCTGTAAAAAGCTCCATATATCTCACGTTTATTGCGGTTGAACGAATGATTAGCAGTCTAGAAAATAGAACTGGTGACCCGTGTTCTAGTAGCGGCTGGGGAAGTTTTCTTCAATTCTTGAGAAAAGGCGGGAATTCATGTCTTCTCCCCACAACTGACTTTTCTAGTCTTCTGGGTTGTTTACCAGTCGAAAGATTCAAATCCCCCGAGAAGTCATCTAATCCACTACCCTTTCCCCAAAACAATCATGGCAATGCATATTTTTCTCAAGAGAAAGGAAGGAAGCTGTGAAGACCTATGAACACCTGCGTCCTGGAGGGGCACAGAATTTTTTTTAAATGAGGAAGATATATTATTAACGGAGAAAGAATAGTCTTATTTCTTACTCTGTCTAAAATAGAAGCCGTTACGTATTTTAGGAAAGAAAGAAAGAAATTATTTATCTTCAGATAATATACAGAGTGAGTTGGATAAAGTGTCGTCTAAATTACGCAAAAATGACATCTCATTTTAACAGATTTATCAAAATTATATAAAAAGTAAATTTATTCTATAAAATCGTCATTGGCTTCTACCACAGCATACAGACAACTTCGGAATCTCTTGCATCTCTTCTGGACGGTCTCCTTGTTTAAATTGAGGAATACTCCCATAATCCTTGTCTTCTTTGGTATTATAAGGAGTGTTGTTGGTCTCTCGCTCAACTGCACCCCACACATAATAATCAAAGTGTTTTCAGTCTGGGGAGGTAGGTGCCCAGATTTAAGGGGTGACGTGGTCTCAGAAATTGTCTGACAGCCATGACTGGGTTCTCCTGCTTGTGGCATGTTGCGAGAGTCCTGTTGCCAGACATACGGTCTTCCAGCAGCCACCCACTTGATCCAGGGCAGCACTACATCCTCAAGGCACTTGATATAAGTCTCCATATTGAGTCTGAGGGCCTGTGATCACTGTAAACACCATGATGTTGACTGGATATATCATCCAACTATTTCCGAATCCTCTGCACAAAGTTTCTGGCGCGAATTCCAAACAGTAAAGCATACCATTTCCAAATTTCTGGCATAGTGAATTGCGTCGTGGTGCTCTTTTTCTCACAGATGGTTCCCAACTGCCCCTATTATACTGTGCTGTCGATAAAACCGAAAACAAACAACGCGCATGCGCAATATTAAAAATATAAAATGGTGGCTATTTACCCTTCACACCGTGTAGAGAACGCCAGCTATTGAGGTCGATTTGAGTCTTTTTGATAACTATAAATGTCTGATAGTATAAAGAGACGGATATAAAAAATGGAACAAGTGGCATTTATTGTTCCAAATTTCATTTTTAGACAGAACACCAGCTACTCAAGAAAAATAAATAGGAAATTTAGTAACTTGAACTGATCATTTTTAATTCATTTTAAATAAGATGTTTGGAAATTACTGACTCATCACCATAAAAGTTAAGTAAGATAATCTGTATTTACAATAAACAGTTTCCGGTGAAAATCTCAACACGCGTTTTACAATTAAATTTTAAGTTTAGTTTTATTTTTAAATAATTCAAATTTTAACGTTATCCTCACACGAGCAGCTATTTTTAGAAAGGAAATATGTTCTGCCTTTCATCGTGTTCACAGCGCCCTCTATCGAACAGCTGATTAAACTAAACCAACAAATTTGCTAATAAAATATTAACCAATAATTTGCAAATGGTTAGAAATTATAGATGTTAACATATTATTGGCAATTTTAAAGCTTATAAAATACTGATTCTGCATACTATAATTATTTATTTATTTATTTTTGCTTCCTCCTTTGAGAGGAGTGGACGGCAACCACACCCAGTGCTGCTACTGCAATTTGAATAGGAATTGGATTTTAATGGCGCTGGAGAATAAGAACGACGCCCAAGAAGGATTGCCTTGCAAGACATAAGAGCTCTAAATTCCCTGCTATTTTACCCATAGTTAAAAGAAAGGTGGATTCATGCCTTTCGTATGGATAAGTGTATGAGTAAATACACATTTTCGGAGGCAGAATTTGAAACCAGTTTCTCGATTCCATTAAATGGTGCATTAGCCATTAGAACACGTGTAACTTCTAGCCACCCATACATTTTACAATATAATGTATAATTAATTCCATTACCTTAAATTCCATCTTTCTCGATCCTTCTTTCTTTCTCTCTCACTTTCTCTCTCTCTCTCTCTCTCTATATATATATATATATATATATATATATATATATACATATATATACATATATATATATATATATATATATATACATATATATATATATATATATATATATATATATATATATATATATATATATATAAAGAAAGAAATAAAACAAGATATATAATCCGGTGTTCTTATAGATATTTTTATTTTTACAAAATAGAGCTCAATGTGAATTTACATAGCATATATATATATATATATATATATATATATATATATATATCACCCTCATCTCTCGCGCCCCCTCTCTCTCTAAAAGAGAGATAAATAATAGAGAAAGCTTATCTTAAAAGGATATAATTATTGCACACTACTGCAGTTTCACCTTTCGGATCTTCAGGTTGGTTTGGTTATCATAATACTACTATACTAATTATATTTTTTTTAAGATAAGCTTTCTTTATATTGGTCTACAGCGTATTTATTGAGTAATTATTGAGTAACTTTCCTCGAATATGCTGGTCGCTAGACAAAATATTGTTTAGAATAAAACAAAGCGTCTACTCAATACGTATATTCATTAAAAATAACGTTTCAAGTAATATATATATATATATATATATATATATATATATATATATATATATATATATATATATATATATAAGAAAAGAGGTTGTAGTGGTTCCAACGAGAGAAAAGTATGTATATTAAAAGAAGAGAGGTGCCGCAAACGCTTTTGGTTGTAATGTGTTTTTTTTTAGAAAAAAATATTATGCTTTATTTTAGATAATTTTACTACACGAGTTTCTGGTCTCGTGTCCGTCTTCAGGTAAAAGCGGAGATTTCCACATTTTTTAATTAATTTTTTCCTTATGTTTTTCAATGTTGATTATTCTCGATATGAGGTCATTATTCGAGAATAATGTCTCATATCGAGAATATTCAACATTGAAAAACATAAGGAAAAAATGAATTATTTTTAATAATATGTGGAAATAGCGGGAAAATTTATGGAGTTGTAAAATAGCCAATGCGATCAATAATAATCGTCCTTTTTTTTTTCTTTGATAACATAGATTAAACGCACCACAACAAGAATATTATCATACATCTGCACGGAAAATATAATCGGCGAGCCGGTTTCAAATTCCGCTCTGGTCTTTTGCGTTCAATTTTGCATAATTTCCACTGTACAGGCATGAAGTCATTACTTCTCAAAGCTATAGGGTAAATGCCAGGACATGCTGTGTTCTCTTAACCTTGACCGGCAACCAGTCTAAAAACACTGAATTCAAAACGAGGCTGAAGAGGGATTGCATGAGTCAGACCCTAGATAATAAGAATTATGGAACTTGAAAAAAAAAAAAAATATATATATATATATATATATATATATGAAATGGACTAATATATTGTCTGTTTATACGTTATTTTTATAGATACAAGTTCGATTTCTGTCGGAGGACATATTTTCTACGATATTTCTCGGACATATAGGCCGGTAAATGTTGTTAATACTGTTTATTATAAACAGAGCATTTACTTAAATATTCGTATCAATAAAAATAACGTATAAAGAGAAAAAATTTATGTTTATAAAGTTATTTTAATAGATATAATTAATTTAAGTAAATGCTCTGTTTACATTAATAAAACAGTATTAATTTTCAATTACCGAATGAATGTCCGATAAATTTCGTAGAAAATATGCGTTCTCCGATAGGAATACGAACCGGTAACCCTTATGGGAACCGACATATAGCCTGATGTTTTGTTACCATTCAGCCACGGAGAAGTATCTGGTTAGCAAAGTTCGAATTACTGTTTGTAAACACACACACTGAAGGTTTTTCTCGATCGATCATAAGGGTTACAAGTTCGATTCCTGTCGCAGAGTGCTTATATATTTCCAAGAGAAAAGAGAAGACGCAAACGTTTTTAGTTTTTTATATATTATATTTTATTTTCCATAAAATAAATAATAATTTAAGATTTAAGAAACAGCAGAAATTTTTATATATAGTGCCTAATATTAAAAATATTAAAATAATATCAAAAAATAGAGCACTAATGATATTATATGAAAAGATTACTTAACTTTTAAATATAAATTTTATCGCGATTTTGAAGTTTCTTGGCAAATTTTCCAGTCTTCAGGTTTTAAATGATAATTCCAATTTGGGAAAAATTGAAAAAAAATTAGAAATATCGTTTAACACCAAAACCCCCTGAAAACTGTAAATTTTACCAAGAAACTTCGAAATCCGGTTAAAATTGATATTTAAAAGTAATCTTTTCATATATTATATATATATATATATATATATATATATATATATATATATATATATATATATATATATATAATAAAATGTGTACGACATTGAGATAGATGGAATAAATGGATAAAATGA